AAAACTTTTTTTTTTTTTTTTTTGGAAAATGTAGAGGAATCAGAGCTCAGATGGTTCTCATAGGAGTCTCGCTTCTTATAGCATATAGCGAGCTCTAGTTTTTTTAGTCTTAGCGACTTCACACCCTTCTCTCCTGCACCAAAGTATGGATCTGTGCTGGTCTTAGAAAATCTGTTCCTCGCTCATAGGTTCGGTGAGATTTTTTTTTTTCGGAGCATCGTAGGCGCGCCTTAAGCGACCCACTTTCAAAGCCCGCGTACATCCCGTTGCATGCTTGGCATCAAGGAACACAATTGCAATTTTTTTGTCATGCCACAGAATAGGCGTGAACAGACACACTAGATGTTGGACCATCCGAACGAGATCACTCACTGATCAGTCCAAAAAAAAAGAAGAAGAGAAAGACAATATTTTACCAAAAAAAAATTGGTCTCTTCGTATCTTGAATACATTTTTTTTTAATTCCCAAAATGTCTCTGGATTTTGAAGATGCGCAGTTGAGCTCGATGCCGTGTTCCTCGTTCAGTTCAGTCGTACAAGTGTCTCACGTTCTTTTTTTTTTTTAATTGCAACTGTTGGAATCTTGATGCCGTTCGCTAGCTAGCTGAGAGCTGAGAAATTTAATGAAATACCCACGAATCTTTTTTCCGTTTTTTGCTGGACGTCTCATTCTATTTGCTGTCCTAAAAAAAGGAACTCTACATCTTCCATACTTTGGACCTGGTCGCAGGTATAGAGCGAGAGTGTGTTTTTCGAGTGGCACGGCGGGCCGAGGCACAGCGCTTTTAGGTTAGCTTGTTGCATGGGGGCGGAGACCAGCAGTCACGCCCCGTTTCACATTAATATATTCCAAAGCAAGCTCTCCAGAGTTCTTATCATTGATAAAACTCCGTCGCATGTGCCTCTGAAAACACATAGAACAGCACGTTACTACCAGACTGACAAGACTCGTCTCGATCAGAGCAAAATCGAAAGTAGGGGGGCTTGACAAGGGTCGTAGGGGATCTAAAAGAAGATCCTCGCTAATTAAACAGCCTGCCAAATTGCTTACCTGATCACGAGGAATAAAAATCATCTCGCACGAGATGCATGCTTTATAAGTCTGAAATATTCTGAGTAACTTTTTAGTTTGGCTAGAGCACGATTAACTGACATATCATTATTTATTTTCACCGTGACCGTAATTACGATAAACAGATTGTCTTAGAACAGCGATATTGATATACACCCTTTTTCTTATTTTAAGCCTCGTAGCTATGCCAAAACTCAAAAGCATGTCAGAATCTGCCTGCGATAACTTATCTTTATGAAAAACGAAAAAATAGATAAATTAGATAGTTCTTCGTTAGAGCGTACTCCTGGAAGAAATCGATTAAGAATTAGCAACTCCAAGTATTACTATTTTTTTGGCGTACAATAACTTTTTGGGGTTTTCTTTTTTTCATTGAATTAGCAATTTTAACATAGCGCTCTTCGATCGTCGCTTACTATTTATACACATAATATGTATGTATATATAGAAAGTAGCATACATATGTCCAATATATAGTGTAGACATATATACATATATATGTTTTAACAAATAGAATTTACTAATTATAATTTTGGACGATCGAAGGCGTTATGAATGAATATTCAATAATTTACACTGTTGGAGCACCAGCGTCAATCAGTCTGGCACATGCCGTCGTCCGTTGCCACATTTGGATATCATGACTGTTACGACCGTGAATTAACCATCGCAGCCTGACCCTTACATCACAAATAATCGTTAGCATTTAGATGCTTACCTAGACCTCGTGCAGCCACGTCAGTAGCCACGAGGATGGAGGATCTGCTGTTCCGGAATTCTGTAACATTAAAGGAGTAAATAAAGTGATCAGTTATTTGCATCGTATAAAAAGAGAGTCCAATGAAACTGATTGAACCGAAGAGATTAATCTTAATGACTTACGATTTAATACGTAATCTCTTTCCTGCTGACTTTTATCACCATGTATTCCAATCGCTTGCCATCCGTATCGATTGATGGCGCGGGTGATATCGTCGACTTTTCTTTTAGTTTCAACGAAGATAATTGTTTTATTCTCTGGTTCGTTTGATATTTCCTCCAGGAGTTTCATCAGCTTGCCCTCCTTCTCGTACTCCTCGCAGACGTCGACGATTTGCAAGATGTTGTGATTGGCTGCTAGTTGTAGAGAACCAACGTTGATCTGGATGTAGTCCGTTAAGAATTCTTCAGCTAGGTTTCGCACTTCCTTCGGCCATGTTGCTGACCACATGAGAGTTTGTCTATCAGGTCTGATTTGTTCGACTATCTTTCTAATCTGAGGCTCAAAGCCCATATCGAGCATTCTATCAGCTTCATCTAGTACTAGATATGTGCATCTACGTAGATTTGTCGTGCCCCGCTCTAGAAAGTCTATTAGACGACCTGGTGTGGCGATGCATATTTCTACGCCACGTTCTAAGTCTCGAGCTTGAGGTCCTTTGGGAGCTCCACCGAAGATGCATGTGTTCCTTACTTGCGATGAGACTCCAAAGTCAGATGCTACCTGTTGGATCTGTTGTGCTAATTCTCTTGTAGGAGCCAGAATTAGAGCTATCGGTCCATCACCTCTTGTTAGGCGTGGTTGATTATTTATATGTACAATGGCTGGCAGGATATAGGCTAGAGTTTTTCCAGATCCTGTTTGTGCTATCCCTACCATGTCTCTTCCTGATAATGCAATTGGCCATCCTTGTGCTTGGATGGCCGTAGGTTCTCCAAAGCCTTGTTTTCTGATTTCATTAAGGACATAGTCAGGGAAGCCACCTTCTTCGAAAAAGACATTGGGTCCTGGAATATTTGTTCCTTTTACTGTAATTTCTTTGTCGGATTTGTATGCTTCGACGGTGTGTTGACTGCGGCCTGACACATTAGGATGTGGCTGATAGAAATCCTTTCTAAATGGTTGCAATGTACTCATGTCCCATCTTGGTTTTCGCAGGCGTTCACCAGGCTGCTTGTTCTTGAAGGAGCTACCAAAACTGCTATTGTCACGACTTGCTCCTCCACTAAATCTACTACCACCATCACGACTGCTAAAACGACCTCCACGACTGCTACCTCCACCGCGCCTATCACCGCGGTCGCGGTCTCTGTAAGCCCTATAAAGGTAAATATATTATTTGTCATTATTCAATAATATTATGCATTCATTATTCTCATGTTCCAAATTATTGTATATCTCTTAGGATACAATTTTCCAATAAATTTTAATACAAACTAAAATTAGTTTTTAATTAACTTGCGCTTAAAATAAAATATTACTGAAAACTACTACTGGCAAGTAAAATGGTGTAAGCAAAATCACAATACGGTTGACAAATATTTAAGCAAAAGCACTAAAATTCAAAAAAGTTTATTCAATCCTACTAAGAAAACTATCGAACTTACATTATTGTGAATTTTTATCCGTAATGCCAATCAAAATACTGAAACTTTCCAAAGAACTTTGGAAATTTGACGGGACAATACGCAGTCTACGCGTCACCGAGGTTCACAAAGATTCTGTGATCAGAAGAATAGCAATGGCGACTGTGCGCGACAAGAAGTAGTCCCAAATTATTATAAATCATTTTTCGCATCTCTCGAAGCGTAGCCGACTGCTATAAAATTTTCAAAATCAAACATTCAATTTCTCGAATTCACTCTTATAAGTTTCTTTCTGAAAATTTCTTATTTTATTAAAAGTAGGTCTTGAACTTTTGCTGGATAAAGCTGGCCCGTTAGCCACGCCTATGCATAAATTAGCGCACCAGACAGAGGGGATAGTACTTCAGCCAATCAAATATTATCTCTAACTGTCTCAGTATTAAACGACGTATCCAATTGGACTAGAGCAAGAGTAGCCAACAATGGGAAATTTGAAGATGCTGACAAAAATCTTGCAAGTAGTTGAAGAAGGAAGTTGTCAGGATACGAGGCAAAGGCGCGTTTTTATAAAAGTAACGTTAAACTTAAGAGAACGAAAAAGAAAAACTTTTATTAATGATTTCTTTGAATGACAATTTAACGCGAGATAATAATTATTAATAATCATAGCTTTTCTTATACACGAGATCACAGAAAATAGTCCTAGTAAGTCAAATCCATAGGATACTAATAGTGTTTTCACAAATAACTTATGTACGTGTAAATTCGTCTGAAGATAATCGCATTAATTCTCATATCTATCAATGTTACTTATCACCATCGTGATTATACTTTCGCAGATTCTTCGAAGAGCCTCAGAATCTGGTTCGAGCAACCAGGTCCTTAAATTACAATATCGCTATGGAACTTATAAATTATTGTTTTATGTAACATAGTTTTAAAAGGAACGTAAAACCTCATTTGTTGCACTACAACGATATGCTATAAAGAAATTACGACAATTTGATGCCTAGCCCATTTTTTTAGGACTCATTAATCGAGTCAGTACATCAGTCACTCTTGATTTCAATAACTATTACGCACTTCTTCTTAGGCTTTGATGCTTCTCTGTTTTAGCACATAGAAACGAGAATAATACTGAGTGAGCACAGTATGTGATTACTTGTGTGCCAGCACAGTCATACTCAGTACATCAAAAAAATAAACTTTTTAAGCACGATCCTTCAGTGTGCATATAATTTTGCACACAAGCTTAACACAACGCTAAGATAAATTATCAATAAGTACACCCAGTCTTGTCTTATCACTTCGATTAATAAAAATTTAAGTACAAAGAAAAAAAAAGTAATGGCAAATTTATATTATAATCGAATTTGAATAGTGTCCTTGACCACAGCACCCATATACGATCGTTGATCCACGACCAAGAATTTTTTGTCAAGTTTTCATACAGCCTTGCTTTTTTTTTAGTTACTCCAAAACATTACCGCTTACGCACCTATCAATTTTTAGCCCTATTATAATTAATGTATCAATAATTTCCCCATTTTTTCTCTTCGGAGAAAGACATGCGATCGTGCCTAAAAAGTATTAAGTCATTACCATTACAATTACTCGTCATTACAAACGACAAATACATCAGTCTATGAGATCCCATGGTTTCTCCATGCCCATACTATTTTGATAGTCATTATCATTTTAACCCACTTGTAAATTCCTCCCGTATTTTAATACGCGGAACCTCTGTACTGATAGCTATTCCCATAATTATCACCGCCGCCATAATTCTGCGGCATATTACCCTGTCCATAATCCCTTTGAGTGCTATAGCCATAGCTTGAACTTATTTGATTAGACGGTTTCCCAGTCGAGTAATTGTACTCAGATGTGGTATAGCCGGCCGATGAAGATTGGTAAGATCCTCCACCACGAGTACCACTACTACCTCCTCGTCCTCTGGAGGAACTTCCGCCACCACGTCCTCTGCCTTCTCCACTGCCACCGCGTCTTCCTCCACCTCTGTCGGATCCTCCGGATGGTCCTCCAAATCTCTTGCCACCTGCAATTCATCAGCACTTAATAATCTACCCTATATTTTCTCACTATAGAATATTTTAAATTCCATTTTTTATGACTCTCAAAGACGTAAGGTTTCTTTGAATAAGTATCACCCTACTCACTTCTACCTCCAAAACTGCTTGACTTTGCCATCTCAGCCATTTCACTCAGTCGCGGATTGATGTTTTGTCCTGCTTCACGCAAGACCTCAATCAGATCGCCGGCGTGTTTCATATTGTGACTCGTGAAAAAAGCATAAGCTGTTCCGGTTTGTCGTCTCCTGCCAGTACGTCCAATACGATGTATATAGTCCTCGGACGATGAGGGATAATCGAAATTTATCACATATTTAACGTCATCCACATCTGCGGAATGATAATGTTCAAGTACTGTGATAATTATTTGAAGATTTTCATTTTAAAAAAGTATAATTATGTCGCTTTTCTTTGCGCGTTACAGCCTCGCGAGATGACAGGAGAATAAAATTTTGGTTTCTTGTTTGTCATTGTTTTTTTTAACAATTTATCATTACTTTTTTAAATATATAATTTGGATAGTATCGTCGATGGCGTGCGCGCGCATTTTCAAGTGTGACAAAAATGACGCTTGAATGACACCCACCTTTCCATTGTAAAATCCGACTCGAAATCAGCTAGAGTGGGTCCCGTTTGCTTTTAAAGCGGGACAATTTCGGTCGGTTTCTTTAGTAAAATTTAATGTCGGCCTAGAGATTAGACAGACACAGCGGTGGTGTCTGGTTTTGGGACAAAGGCAGCATTTTAGGGTTTAGGCCCGAGTGCATTAATTCTACTAGAGGCACCAGATTATTTAGCGAATCGATACTTTCATCGTTATTATTCTTTGCTCATTCGATTAAACGACAGTGCAATGGTTTGTACGTGACAATCATTTTTGTTACTAATGAACGCCTTGCAAAAATGATTTGTCACTGTCATTAATTTATTTAAGTATTATATCACTTTTTACTGAGTGTATCAGCGCGACTCGAACAACATAAAAGTATAAATAAATAAAAATAATAGAGTCACTGTGTCTGCCCAATACTGGCAGTACACCGCGTCGATTTAGGGATCTCTGTGCCTCTGAAAAAAGAAAACCAGACAGACTTAGTGGTAGCTTGTGTGCATTTTTAGAGCCCTGCCGATCGATTTAACGAATTAGAAAAAGAACAATGTTACCTACCGATCATTAGATTCAATAAAACAAAGTAAAAATCTTCATATTTGTTGATCAATTTGTGATTTACCTTAAATACTTTAAAGAAAAAAAAAGAAAATTTTTTAAACTGCAGGGCTCTATTAATGTAGCTTTTAGAACAATGGTCACAAAAGTTCCAATGCATCACACGTTGCTACATACACAGCCGTCGGCCGGTCTCACTATGATAACGCATCACTGGCTAATCCAATAAGTGTTGCCAATTCCCAGTCAAACCGCGCGTCCTTACATACGATTCTTTTTTTTTTTATTTTCAATTCCTAATTACAACCTACCCAAACCACGTGCGGCTACGTCCGTAGCTACCAGTATTGGAGCGCGTCCACTTCGGAATTCTTGTAACACATGATCTCTCTCTTGCTGATTCTTGTCGCCATGGATACTTAATGCTTGCCAACCGTCACGCCTAATGTTTCTCGTGATGTCGTCAACTTTGCGCTTTGTTTCCACAAATATGATTGTCTTATTCTCCTTTTCGGTGCCTATCTCTTGAAGCAGCCTGTACAGCTTGAGATCCTTTTCGAATTCCTGACAAACATCCACGATCTGGATGATATTGTGATTGGCGGAAAGGGTCAAAGAACCAATATTCAAGTGAGTATAATTTGTTAAAAAATCTTCAGCCAATGCTCGCACTTCCTTTGGCCATGTCGCAGACCACATTAGAACTTGACGATCAGGTCGAATCTGTTCTATTATTTTTCTTATTTGTGGCTCGAATCCCATGTCTAACATTCTGTCAGCTTCGTCCAGCACGAGATATGTGCATCTATTTTTGAGTAAGGATTTGATTATTTATTTTCGTAAGGCCACTGAATAGCATGGTACTCTTCTTTAACTCACCTGCGTAGACTGGTGGTACCACGTTCTAGGAAATCAATGAGACGACCTGGTGTGGCGATGCAAATTTCTATTCCTCTCTCTAAATCATGTGCTTGTGGACCCTTTGGTGCACCACCAAATATGCAGGTGTTCCTTACAGCTGCTGATTCACCAAAACAGTTGGCTACTTCTTGAATTTGCTGAGCTAGCTCACGAGTTGGGGCTAGGATAAGGGCAATAGGACCATCACCAGTGGTTATACGTGGTTGATGTATGATGTGGACAATGGCTGGTAGAATGTACTATAAGGAAAATGAACTCTTTGTAAGAAATCTTAAATTGTTTATAGATTGTACTAACCAACCATGAATTTTTCAGATCTTACTTACTCCTAAAGTTTTTCCAGAACCAGTCTGAGCAATAGCGACAAGGTCTTTTCCACTTAGTGCTATAGGCCATCCCTGAGCTTGAATAGCCGTAGGCTGAGCATATCCTTGTCTTCTTATACCTTCCATTACGTAAGATGGAAAATTCCCTTCTTCAAAGTATTGAATAGGATTAGGTACATCGTCTCCCTTAACAGTGATTTCAGCATCCTGTCGAAATTTACTGACCTCCTCCGGTGATCTGATGGTATAATTTAAGATGATACAAATTTCTTCCACAATATTAAATCAATGACAAAAATATCATACCGGTTTCTAACAGCCGGATGTTCTACGTAAAAGTCTTTTCGCAATGGTTCTAAGGAACGAATATCCCAGTTTAATTTTCTTAGAGCACCACCAGGTTGTTTACCCTTTAAACCACCACGTCCACTGCCGCCTCCATTTCCACCGATACTACTTCCGCCCCTACTACTGAATCTTCCACTTCCGTTTCCGTGACTTCCATCACTACCACCTCGACCATTTCCTCTGCCACCTCCTCGACGACCTCTGCTCTGATCTCTGTCACGATTGAACCTGAGAAGAGATTGAGATTTGTATGATTAAACAAGAAAGAAATAATTGAAAGATTATGTAACAAAATGGTGATCGCACAATGAACAAGGGAGAATTAATGAAATAGGTTTTCATTTAAGCAGCAGTCAGTATCCTTTGAATTTAAATAAACGTACGTTACTGACAATAAATCATTTTTGCCATATGTATACATAATGTGCATCAAGAAACTGCAATTATTGATTGCTGTCATTAGTATTGAAGGATTTTGCATTGTTAAAAATGGCCGTATTTTTCTCAAAAGTGCTGCTCAAGAGATCTGATTTTTCTCAGGGTATAAAGTACTAAATGATTGTTCTCAGTCAGACAATAAAGATTACGATTGAATTAATTTTTTCTCGATAAAAATATTGAGAATTCGACTAGTACTTACATGTGGAAATGGGAAAATATCACAGAGCAGCGACTGTCTAATAAACCGTTTCGTCCGGCGAGCAGTAGCCACTTGCAAAGCAATCAATAATTTCGTCGCAATGAGCTGTAACAAGTGACTCTAGAAACTAAGCGCCTAGCTAATTTCGTATCTGATATCTACACGATTTTATACAAGGAACTAGAACGAGCGTTTTAAATGTATTTTGATAAGCGAGAAATTATCAAGTTTGGATTTGCCGGCAGTCGGGCAAGTCGAATTTTCTTCTGAGGTACTTCCGAAAGTAGTTCCCAGTAAACTGTTTCTATGGATACGGCGTAGTAATATCAGATAATATTCAGATCCATATTTAGGTGTAGTTCTTATGTAAGCGACGCTATACGTCCAATAATTACCTAATTCTGCATTATTTGAGAAACACTGCTGGTGGGGATGACTCATGCTATTGGTTGATTCATTCAATTCAACACCCAATAGGACATTTCCTTTAAGGAAATGTCATTTGGTTTAGAAAAAGGCGGTTGATACACAGCCAATAGGACGCTGACTTTCTCCAGTGTTGACGCTTTCTGCGTTTGTGTAATGTTGCCAAATCGACTGCTAAATCTAGAACGGAGATTGACGGAGACGATACTTTTAAGAAATTTTTTGTTCCCTGTGTAGAAGGATTTTGAATATAATCTTTCGTAATGTCATCACAATCGGTACAGCTATATTTTATTTCTTTAATTGTTGTAAGGTATAATTATGACATTGTCAATGAGGGATATTACACCTGTAAAAAATAATGTTCGTGTATTTAACGTATATGTTTGTTTTTATTTGTAAATTTTTTTTACTTTTGTTTCAGGGATGTGATACTCTTCGTATCTTGCATTTACCTCCGTATTTATCGGATACTCAACGTGATGAGTTGTTCAAAAAATATGGTGCTATGAAAACGAGAACTGTTAGAAGGTCTGAGAAATATACAATGACTTTTGCCAAGTTCCCTTCGAAACAAGAAGCTACTGAAGCTTTTTTACGATTACACCAGTTGGAAGTGCGTGGGCAACATTTATCTGTTGAATTTGCCAAGAAGTCTGTACCTATTGAACTTTCCGATAGTGACATTCATAGGACTGAAGTAATTCAGGAAAAAGCAAAGAAGGATGGTCCAAATAAAACGCATTTACAGGCTTTTCTTAAAAAGTTAAATAATTGGGCAAACAGTCATATTCTTACACAACCACCACCACCAAATATTTGGTATAAATATTCACCGCCAACCAAAAATACATTATTACGAATAGCAATACAGTTACTCAAGGAGCCAGCTTTTTACACGCAGGTAATGTTTGTATTAAATACTTAGTATATTTGACATTTTATTTTATTATGTAATTATACAGGTTTTACACTTGATGAACAAGATGAATTTACCACCTCCATTTGAGGAGTTAGATTCTGAATTTCCAATGCTTCGTGAAGTCTACAATATGGAGAAGTATAAGGATATTTTTGGAGTTTCTATTGAAGAGAATGAGGAAGCAGAAGGTAAACATTTTTTTAATTTCACTTTTTAACAATACAGAATCTATATAGTTAACGTTTTATTATTTAGAACAACAATCTGACGAGGAAGAAGAATCGGAACTGGAGTCTGATGAAGAAACCCACAACAGACCACCAGAAATTATTCCTGTGAAAAGGAAGAAACCACAATCTACAAAACGTTTAAAAATTCCAAAATTTGTAAATCCAACCAAACAAAATGTCACTACCAGTTCAAGTCAAAAACCAATCAGACCAGAAGATATGTTCGAGTCCGTTCAACGTGGCGAGATTAAGAAACCAAAAATTGAGTTAAAAAATGTTTCTGATAAATTATTAGAAACGTCAACCGATACAATAACTGCGTCTACAGAAACTCCAGAACTAGAAGGTGGTTTCGGTCTTATGTATCCGACAAAGAAAAATGATGATGAGAAAGCAGAAGAAAATCCAAGTCCCCAATTAGAGGAACAAGAATTCATTACTGCAGAACAACTCGCATCTAACAGAATATCCGCAAACGGTAAGTAAAGTTGAATAATCGATATTAATTCATCTCCTTTGATAAAAGTGTCATTAAAAGAATTTTTCTACAGATCAAAGGTTACTTCCGGTTTTCAAGAATTACCATGCTGGAAAGCCGTCATGTCGCTTATACATAAAAAACTTAGCCAAACAAGTGGAGTCCAAAGATCTTCATTTCATATACAAAAAATATGTAATACCAACCATGGAAAATCCAGATTACCAATTTGAAGTTCGATTAATGCAAGAAGGTCGAATGAAGGGTCAAGCATTTGTGACACTACAAAACACAACCCAAGCCCAACTGGCCCTGGAAGAAACAAATGGCTACATCCTAAAAGACAAACCAATGGTGGTGCAATTTGCAAAAGCAGCTAAAAGCTAGCAATTTATTACACCCAAGACTGATAATCCCATCGAGATACAATATTTATGTACATAAAACCCAAGCAAAGTAAATACTATATCAAATCCAAACCAATGACCTTTAACCTACTACTATGAGTAGGTATGAATCCTTATCACTAGTTATTACTTTGGATTACAGTAGTGAAGTCCATTTTAATTCACATTCAAATTTTATTATAATGCAATTTAAAAGTCATTGGCTCTCGTTACTTTCATTTAATATTTTAACGAATATCCTGCTGGTTCCAGTAGAAAAAATATATAATTTAATCGTTCTTTACAGTAGAAATTAGAAACTCGTTCTACTCAAGTAGTGGTTGTGTCAGAGCCGCGTCAGCGGGGGTCGGCGCCCGCCTGGCAGTCAGTAGTTGGCGAAGTGTCCGCCAGGGAGTTGTGTTTTGCATTTCGTCGTGTCAAGCGCCGTGGCCACGGTGAATTCCCGTTCGTGTCGAGGGAAAGCTGATTTCGCCGTCCGTCAGCTTCGTCTCGAGTAAAAGCATAACAACATATTGAACGAAAATCTAACGATGGACGTGTCTCTGTTGCTCCAGCATTCCCAATACGCGATACCAGTGGGCATCGTTTTAGTCTGCGCTATCCTTGTGTTCGTCTTTGGCTTTAAAAATGCCGAGCAACCGCCGTTCGCTCAGCTCTCGTCTAGCTCCGACGTGGACCGGAAGCTAGCTGGCAAGAAACGAAGCAAGATCAGGGAAAAGGTATGAGTCTATTAATTATTGTTAATTGGTATTTTAGGGAATGGAGCGTCGCACGCGTGGTCCGCTAAATCATTCCTTCCTCGCCATATGGTTCCTTGTTTGCAACAACATGCTACTCACACATAGTCGATAATCAGCTGGGCCACCTTCCAGGGGTGGTGCTTGTAATGCACATCCCTTAATGGCTGTGACGTAACATACAGACACTTGTGTCTTATAAGTGTTTTATACATTTTTTAATTGTTTTCATTCACGTTTCGGATAAATGCTTTAGAACGTTGGAAGACAATTTATACTTGTTTCATGTATATGCTTTATTTTCTTTTAGTATTAATTATTATAGTATTGATATTTTGTTACTTACCTCATTTTAAGGAGTATATAGAGGAATTAAAGTTATTTAGTGTTCATGTGTTGGACTTGTGTAATAGCATTATGGAATTTAATTGCTGAGTTCAAGAGAATGGACTTTGTCATTGATCTATATATAGGTAACCTCTTTTCTTTGCAGCGTTCAGCTAATGGACAAATTGCTACCGAGAAGGCTAGTCCGGTTAAGAAGGTCTCACCTGTCAAGGCAGAGCCTGTTAAGAAATCTGCTGCTAAGTCTGACGATGTCGATGGCAAGTTGAAGGAGCAGAAACAAGATGATAACAAACCTAATGCTGGTAAAAAAGAGAAGAATCAGGCTGCTCCTAAATCAGGAAAGGAAAATAAGGTGGAACAGGCGAAGAATAAGAAGAATCTTGCTCAAGAAAAACCAGTTGATTTTGATGATGGTACATTTTATTTATAACATTTTCTTAAAAAAAATTTTATTAATATGCTAAATACATTGTTTTTCTTGCTGTAGGAGGCTGGGAGCAGGCATACTCCAGAAAGGACAAGAAGAATAAGAAGAAAGATGAGGAGACCCCATCGAAGAAAAGTAAGAAGGCAAAGAAGACAGACTTGATAAATGAGGTTACTAAGGATAAAGAGCAAGAGAAACCTGAGATTAAGGATAAAGTGGCCAAGGAGACTGAAAATAAGGAATTAAAAGAAAAAGACAAGAAAGAAGTAATTCTTACTCCAATAACCGCTGATCCTACACCCGAGGAAAAAGTTTCTGAGAGGAAAGAAGAAGTTGCAGTTCCCAAGGTAATTGTTTATACATCTTTTCGTAAGGCATGAGAAAAAAATTCTGAAATTTTCTTCACTGTCAGTTGTTAACTCAGATCGAAAAGGTGGAGAAGGTAGAAGAAAAGAAAAGCAAAGCAAAGAAAGGAAAGAAAGTCAGCGAGAGTGAGGGTACTCCACCAATTTCTGAATCACCAACTCCAAGGAAGGATGAGAAGCATGTCGAGAAGGTAGCAGAAAAGAAGATGATCGACGAAAGCAAGAAGAAGCCAGAGATAATGGTAGAGCCACCGATAGAAGAAAGAGTTGAAGAGAAAGCTGCTCTGGCATTCGATGAACTTGGAGGTGAGTAAAGCAACATTCTTATTCCTGTAATGCCAATTGTTAAGTCTTCGTTAAATTGAAAATGACACTAATAATACAGCAAACCAATTTCACAAAATTAAAACAACTGCTCTAATTCTCAGACGTGTGGACGGAAGCAAAGCCACAAAAGAAAAGCAAGAAGAAGGCTCGTAAGGACAACTGAAAGCGCTTCACGTGAAAGAAAACAGAGTTTCTTGCGCAGAAATACTGAGTGAGAATCCTGCTTGGCCCGTAACAGAGGCCGTAAACTCGCGTTCGGTCAAATCAGGTGTGTCCTTAGTCGACTTAATCGTTCACCACCTGACCACAATTCCCTTGTCCCGTGTAAATAAGTACGGATCGTACTGGTTTCGCGACAGTCCTCCGGGATCGTCGCATAAAATGGCGTTTAACGTCACGATCGCTTAATTAAGGTGAAGAAAGAAAGAAAAAAGTAAAAGAAACAAAAAAAAACTACTAGAGAAATACCGGGCATCACAGACTCTAGCTAGTTTAAAAACTTAACAAAAGGGAGACAGACAGAAGTCAGGACTTTTCACAAAAGTTACAAAAAGAAGAAAAAGAAAAGCAAAATCAAAGGGAAAGACAGAGTTAACTTTACTGCTCAAGTTTTTTGTTTTTCTTGTCTCAGCTATTTATCTAACTTAATTCCAAAATTGATATCCCAAGACTATGTATAACAGAGCTCTACTTCACACCCCTTTAGTCTCTACGTGACTTGTCCCTCGTGAGAACAAAATTGTGATCTGAAGTTCTACTCAGAACGGTCTAAGGCCACATTAACAAAGAAACGAGTTTAACTTGACACGAATATCCATATGCAGGACAATCTCGTGAAAAGAAATGGCGTCACCACTACAAATACAGTATACAGCCACCGTATATAAAAAGAAAATGTACCAAAAAAGAAAAGACACGGAGAGACACGATATCACTCATACGTCACATTGTCTACGATTAGTGAGGCTAACGAAAACGAAGCTACCAAAAACAAATTCTCTATCCTCCCTGCCTCATGATGATTATGAAAATGGGATCGTGTATAACTTGCCTTGATTGTCATTTGAGCTTAGATCTCACCGTGGAACAAGACTTACGTCAATCCGTGCTCTCGGCCAAGTGAAATCTTGACAAGAAATTATCTCGCACATGATTCAATCAAAAAAGAAAGGAAAAAACCCGTACGTGTAATGTACGCGCATGTCGTGCAACGATTCTTTTCTTTTATCACGCTATAATAAATCTGGCCGTGGGCAACGCTAAAGTATAAATGTAAGAGAACGAAAAGGAAAGTATGGAGAACAATTGGAGTCAACAACTCTATTGGCGCTTTATACGTTATAAACGATACAACAACCGACTTTATTATTGATATACAATATATCTATAATATATATATATTATAAATATAATCTAAAATAATATAGTAGCACCGCGATGAGTATTTAACGCGATGGCTTAGTCGTACGTTAATTTATGTATAAATGTGCGATCATAGAAAGAACCGGAAGAGGATATATCTCACCTCAATTAACAGTGCTAAAAGAAAAATCTTCAATGATCCTCCTACCGACGTTTTCGAAAACTGGAGCGGTGCAGCTTATATTTTACTAAAAAAAAAGGGATGAAAATCTGGAAACTATCTGACCCTCTCTCTCTCTCTCTCTCATATGCACACTCTCTTTCTCGCCTTCCGCCAGCCTTGTTTTTCCGTGAAATAAATTTTTCTGCTAATCCCCTCGCCTCAGGCTCCAAAAAAAGTATAAATCTTCCGAACCCCGCCAAAAGACCCACTCTGGATACGACAGGGACTATTGTAATTACATAATTGAAAATGCGTCCGAACAGTATGGGTCATTTTTATTCTTGTGTGATGTATCGTATGTATACAGGGTGTACAAGAAAACTATGTACCATGACAGCCTGTATACGTACGTATATATGTAGCGTATTTGTTTGTGTTTTGCGATTAAGAGTTAACTATTAATATTTAATACTAGGTATTGTTAGGATAGAACAATGGGTGGTAGAGGGACGGAAGCGGCGCGACAATTTGAATTGTGAAGATAATGCAACAATGTGATAAGTGTACTCGATTACCTGAGCTCATTACTTGAACATCCTTACAATAATAATTCCACACGCGCGAACCATCTGTTATTGTTGTTTATTGTTTTTCGATTATTATTACTGTCATTAGAATTATTATTACTGTTTCACGTGGGAAGCGAATACGACACGGTACACACCATTCGACAATGTAGACAAAATTGTGTGGGTCAATGATATGATTGAGAGTGAAAAATTGCCTAATTTGAAAAGTATTTTTTTAATCCCCCTATCAGAGATCATAATTCGATCGGCATTCGAACAATGTCTCCTGAGGATACTCTGCACAGTTGGTTCCTTTTTGGCGTAAGCGATTCTTCAGTTTCACAGTTTTGCTTCAGAGAAATGTGACGCATGTGGGATAAAATATTGAAATTGAATTGCTGAGAGGAAAAAAATGGAAAATAAGTATTTTTTTTAATTAGTCGATAATTGAGCCACCATTGCGAGCTACTGAACTTATTAACGTGCCAAAAGAAAAAAAAAACATGCGGCTTGGGACTCTGACAAGAAAAAGAGAAAGAACAAAGATAGAAAGACAATTAACCCCCCCACCCGAAAATGGTACGAGGCCACGACTGGTCTAGCGTAATAAATTTTCGTTCTTGTAATCTCACTGGATTTGCGTATCATGTATTGCGCGTAATAACAAACAATGTTATACAACAACAAGTTAGACAACAATTGGTTATACAGATTCTACGTAGTTTATGTGTCAGGTTAATAAGGATCAGCCAAAAGTGACGGGGCCCATTGTTATTACTGTTCTCGAATCAACGATAACTATTGTACTTAAATGAGAAAGACAGAAAAATACGTTAGAGAGGTTATGTAACACGTACAGGTAGCGCCTCCACGGCTATACGCATACGGTTAATGGCCGTTAAACGAAATGAACGATTGCGGCGTTGTTAACGTTAATTAAATCTTTCCGTAGAATCACGAGTCTCGCGTGTTATTCTGTCTATAGAGAAATACAGATATTTTGAATAATGCAGATTTGTATATACACCCGGACAGAAATTGTAACGACGATTGACAAATATTCAAGATGGCGTTCGTTACCCTGTCGCGTGATCGTATTTTTTTCTTGTTCTTAGATACGATAGGGATTATTTTCGAAAAAAAAATCACCGTCCTCTGTACATTTCGCTGTTTTAAATACGTTTTTGTGTAAGTTGTATGAAATATCTGAATACTCGCGTTTCTCTTGTTAACACCACGTGACTCAAGCTCTCTCTTTCTCACTCTTGCTGTACGTCCGCTATTCTTATTTATCTTACGCAATTAATAGGTAATACGGATATAAGCCAATCTACGACTGGAGCATTGAGGACTGTTTGATTTATGAATTTTTTTTTTTTCAATTTGGAATTGCTCGAATGACTTTTATTTTATTCTTTAAGAATGACCTTGTAAACCTTATACGTTTGAATGGCATCGATACACATTATTGCACGGTATAAATAATTCTATGAATATTTTATATATATATATTGAAAAATATATATATATATATTTGTGTATGGGTGTGAGAGTGTTCGTTAGTCTTCTTAGTACTAGATATGCCGGGTAAGGTTAAATTTAAGCAGAAAAATTGCAAAGGTGATGTATCTATTGTCAGGTGTCAAAAAAAACTGGATGGAGTGGGATGAGTATAATGATAAGAAAAAATGACAAAAAAAATTAAATATATATATATATATTTAGGTTGTGAAAGAGTGAAATTGTCGATTGGAAGGCGGAGGATATGAAATAGAGAGAGGGTTGGAGGGGGAGGGGGAGGGAGAGAGA